TGAGTTTTGGACAAGAATGTTTCAGAATTGGCATTGAGTTGTCTCTCTTTTGTTTACTTTTATTTTTTTTTAAGTTTATTTACTTATTTTGAGAGAAAGAGAGTGGGAACAGGGGAGGGGGAGAGGGAGAGGGAGAGGGAGAGAGAGAGAATCCCAAGCAGGCTCCATGCAGTCAGCACCAAGCCCAATGCGGGATGTGAAATCATGACCTGAGTCGAAATCGACAGTTGGATGCTTAACTGAATGAGCCACCTAGACACTACTGTCTGTCTTTTATGATGTAATTAGTCACTGATGCTTATTGCCAAGATCTGTGATTTCACTTGAGATTGTAAAATGATGGGAAGTTAATGCTAATACTCCTGCAATTTTTAGCTGGAATACTTCTAGAGACTTCCCCATCTCAAGTCTTTGGTGTAATTATCATTTTAAATGGCTGCATAATGTTACATTAGATTGCTATACTATAATTTACTAAACTCTCCCTTTAGTATAAGATGTCTAGCTTATAATTTATGGATTTCCGCAGTTCTGAGTAACACCATAATTATTCTTTTTGTGTAATCATTTGCAGCTCACAAATTATTTCCTCAGGAGTAGAAGTATCTGGTTAAAAGAAGCATTTCCCTGTGGACACACTTCTGAAAAGGTGGTTCCATTTTCCACCACCACCAGTTATGTACAAATGTGTCAATGTCACTGCTTTTTTTTTTTTTTTTTTTTCTCCCTACCGGCGCCGTTCCTGTCAAGAGGCTTTGTATTTGGAATTTCTTTCAATTTGCATTCATTCATGTAATTTCCCTGGTCTGCATGGCCAGATGCCAGCAAGCCACAAATCACTTTGGGAAAAACAGAAAACTCTTTAGAAGTGAAAGCAGTGTACTTAGAGAAATCAGATGGACTGTTGTAGGGCCGTTCTTGCTGTCTAAGGAGATGGTGGTGGAATCAGCACCAGCAGCAGCAGCAGCAGCAATTTTGTGTTTCGGAAGTTGTGATAAGCAGATATCCAGCATCCCTTTTTGTCTGCTCTTCAACCTATTAGATTCAAAAGTGCAAGTTAAAAGTCATCACTGCTGATGACCAGAGCGATCCTCTTTTGCTGTGGGGAAAAATGATTTCTTCCTCATGTGCAAGAGATGAGCACATTGACTATCTTTGCTGTGTGTGTGTGTGTGTGTGTGTGTGTGTGTGTGTGTGTCCTGAATACAAAGGAAGATGTTCTTGGACAAGAGTAAGTTAGCAGGACCTATATGCCTCCAGCAATATTTGCTTCTGCCACACAAAAGGTGTCTGCTTTGGATGCTTTGGTTTCCTATTTCTAGTTATTTTATTTGTTTTTAAACTTCATGGTATAAAAAGAAAATCACATCCAATCTGGTACCAGTTGGGAATGGTAGGTGCTGTGCTGTCTGTGGTCCATTTCAAAGCACGTTGTCCAATGGATGCAACAGCGATTCTTGGGTTGTGGGGAGTGTCCTAGGCTTATAGTCTCAGAGTCTGAGTTTAAGATTGCTTGTGGTGTGTGACCTGAGGCAAGTTGCTTCACCTTTCTGGACAATTCCTTTCCTTATAAAAGATAAGTACTCTACTGCTTAACTTCAAGGATTGCTCTGAGGATTGAGCGGGGGAATGCAGATGAAAGAAGCGGGCTGGGGGCACCTGGGTGGCTCAGTCGGTTAAGCGTCCCGACTCTTGGTTTTGGCTCAGGTCATGATCTCACAGCTTCGTGGGTTTGAGCCCCACATTGGGCTCTGTGCTTGGGATTCCCTCTCTCTCCTTTCTCTCTGCCCCTCCTCCACTTAACACTATTTCTGTCTCTCTCAAAATAAATAAATAAACTTAAAAAAAAAATAAAACAGAAAGAACAAGATAAACTGTGAAGGCTGGGACTGTGGAAAGAATTTCAGGTTTTATTTTTTTACATACTTAAAAAAATCCTTTTTTTTTCTTCCCATACACATATTGCTCATTCAAAAGTAAAAGCAAGAAAATAAGAACCTGCTGGTAATCCTACCAGCAACTGAATAGATTTCCTTCTGCTTTTTTTTTCTATGCAAGGACGCACATTCATGAAAACCAAGATCATATGGCACATAGTATTTTATAATCTATTTTTTCACTTAATATGTCATGAATACTTGCCATAGCATTAAGTAGTCTTATGCAAATTCATCTCTAAGGTTTACAAAGGATTCTCTTGTCTGGCTGTGCCACCATTTACCTGCTGAACCCACTATACAGCCGTATAGATTCTTTCTCAGTTCTCTCTCTCTTTTTTTTTTTTTTT